GTGTGTGTGTGTGTGTGTGTGTGTGTGTTCGAGTGCTAGTGGGAGAAAGGGGTGTGTGTGTGTGTGTGTGTGTGTGTGCTCGAGTGCTAGTGGGAGAAATGGTTGAGATAACTAATGAGAATCTGTAAGTCGGTGCTTCTGGACACTTGCCATGGAGAACTACGGGAACATTTGTGCATCTCTGGGGAGTTTGATGGTAGCAGAGTGACAGTAGGACTGGGGCTGTGGCTAGAAGATGTGGTCACCCTGGCTCTGTCAAGAAGAGTAACAACAGGTTTGGGGATCAGACTACCTGGGTTTGAGCCCTGCTTTCACCACTTTCCAACTGTGACCTTATGAAAGTAATTTGATATTTCTGTGCACTAATTTTGTGCTCTGAAAACTAGAGCGGGGATCTTGTCTATGATTCTTATCAGGGTTAAGCTATAAATTTATTCCGTCTCATCACATAGGTAGCCCTCAGAAATGGGCAGCATAATTGGAAATAGAGATTGTTATTAGAAGAAAAAGTAATTGAAAACTCGGCATCCTAAGAATCTATAGGACAGTGGAACTGCCCCAGGGTTTTCGCCTAGAAAACATGACAGCCTATGTCATGTCCGCAGTGGCAGGTTACCAGGTTTGGCGTGTAATAGAAACTAAATAAACATTTGCAATGGAATGAAAAATCCTAGGATCCTAGAAATGCCACACAAGCATGTAATGACATACCTGACATGTAAGAAGTGCTCAAAACATGTAAACTTTAATCATTGTTTTTGCCGTTATTTGAACATTTCTGGTTTTTCTTAATTTTAAATATTCTTTCATCCAATTTTTACCTCTTTTTTTTTTTTTAATCTTACCTTAGGTGCTCCAGAGACCAGTGAACCTGAGCGGAGGCTGGGACGCCCTGGTGGGCCCCGGGCCCTGGAAGGTGGGTCCCGGTGGCCGGTGGCCCAGAATGAGGCCAGTTCCCAGCATGCCCTGCAGCCGGACGCCAGCCCCTCGGCCAGCAGCAGTGGTGACGACCCAATCAGTCTTCAGGCATCCAGAGAGGAGCCTGAGAGTGGGACCATGCAGAGCAGCCCTTCCTCTGCCCACTCTCAGCTCCCAATCCTGCAGACACAGGTTTGCAAGTGGGCATGGGTCCCTTGCTTCTGTGGCAACAGAAATGGTCCAGGTGTTAGCCAGTGTCCACAGCTCCAGCTACCCAAATAGCTGAGGCAGGGGGCTTTTGTGCTTGGGTGTACATAAGCAAGTTGGATATTAGATATTTCTTTCTTTCTTTTTTTTCATTTTATTAGGGGCTCATACAACTCTTATCACAATCCATACACATGCACTGTGTATAGCACATTTGTACATTCATTGCCCTCATCATTCTCAAAACATTTGCTTTCCACTTAAGCCCCTGGCATCAGCGGGCCATTTTCCCCCTCCCTCCCCGTTCTCCCCTCCCTCATGGACCCTTGATAATTCATAAATTATTATTTTGTCATATCTTGCCCT